TTTAGGAACCATGGTTGTTCTGCATGCTACTTTTTCTGAAACCTGCTAGGAATTAGTAATCATGAGGGGTTGCAGTGTAAAATAAATGCCATACTGACTTTATCCAGTTATGATTGTAGAGGAGACGAGATTAGAAAAGGAACGACTATCAAATCCTATTTGAAAACTAAACTAGATTAGAAAGGAATATCAGATCAGTATATAAAATTACCTAAGTAATTTATACTGTATATAAAATTACCTAAGTAATTTTATATATAGAAACAACCTAATTTAAATATTATGCATAGAAATAGCTGGAGTAGTTAATTCTTTATTAATAACATTAGTAAATTGTAACTGTACCATACATTTTCTTACTGCTTCATTCTTTTAAGAAATGAAATGCTTTCATGGATATTACCTTAGTGAAAGTACTGATTTAGAGGAGCAGTAATGGGAGTAATAATCCTTTTCCCCTATGATCAGATGGCTCTGAGAGCCACAAAAATACTGAGTTCACATGTGAAACAATTAGTTACAGAAAGCAATTTAATTCGTTCATTTAAACATACATGCAGTATTGTTGAATGCCTACTTTGGCAGTGTAGACCTTGTCAAAGAGAAAAGGACCGTTGGTTTATCTAAATTGTTCACTCCTTGCCATTAACATCTCATTGATCACTTACCATGTGCCAGCCTTTTAATCTCTTATACCGATGCTCCATCCAGGTAGATCGAACGAATGAGTTCATGTTTTCCTTCCTGCATTTTGATGCTTGCCTACTCTTCTTTAGAATTATCTCTAATTCCTATTTAGGTCATCTTTACATTAACGCAGCCTGAACCATGATCACTGCATTAATTGAAATTGGGTTTCTTGCTATCAAATATGGAAACCCAAAATAATAGTGACTTCTACAAAATAGAAAGGTGGGTTTTTTGTTTCTGTATCCCCAGTACCTAGTTCGGGACTTGGCAAATATTGTTTGAAAGAATAAGTGCGTTGGCTAGTACTGTGAAGCTTCACTACCCCCTGCTGAGACGATATATTTTAGCCAATGAAACAAGCACCACCTGGGTTTTTGGAGCTAGCATGGGGATAACAAAGTGGGATTTCTCAAAGTGTAGTCCATGGACCACCTGCGTTGGAATAACTGGCTTGCAAAATGCAGATTCCTGTGCCTCATACCTGGAGATATAATTTGATAGGCCTAGGATAGGAACCAGAAATTTTCATGTCTCATAAACTCCCTTGGGTGATTTGAGAACCACCAATATAAGGAAGGAAAGAAAGGAAAGGAGAAGAGACTGGTTTGTGGTCTTTCTATCTTTTAATAAATTCTCACAGAGTAGTGGCGGTGCCTCTATTTCCAGTCCTGGCTCGTGAACTCATGGTACGGCCTACTGCTTCCAGGAGAGCCTCCCAGAAGTAAGCCCAAGATTAGGAAAGGGCTGAAAAGTTTATTTTTCTCCTCACATAAAAGAGATGTGGAGGCAGGTGACGAAGTGCTAGCATGGAGGAATCATGACATCATCAGCTGTCCAGGCTCCTTCACGAGGTTGCCCTTGTTCCTACGATCCAATGTGGCTGCTAGAATTTCATTCAACCAAGCCATCAGTCCTTGCTCTGGATGGCAGGATGCAGGATGAAAAGAAGTGGAAGAGAAAGAAAGCCCCTCCATTTTAAGGACACTCCCCAGAAGTCAGACACAAAGCTATACACGTGTGTTTGGTCAGAGCTTAGTCTTATGACCACATTTTGCTATAAGATTATCTGGGATATGCAGATTTTGGCCTCGACAGTAATGTGCCCAGTAAAAGAAAGTAAACAAAAAGCAGAAGGTAAAAAAAAAATCAGACCAAAAAAATCCCTGAGGATTCTGTTAGTAAAGAACAGGCCATTACTGGTCTCTGCTACCATCATTCATTCTAAAGCTGCCCAAATAAATATCCTAGATTCCCTTTAACTCTTGGCAAGTGATTTTGCCAGTTCTCAAAACCAGCTATCGTCACCATCCTCCTCCACCTCCTCCTCCCCATAATCGCTTGGAAAAGTACTAAAACTCCACACAGATCTTATGTCGTGTGCCTGTCAGTTAACTCCAGCTGGAGTCCTGTTTTTTAAATCGTGGATTGTCAGATTCTATAATCTGCTTCTTGTGGCAGTTGCTTTAAAATTTTCCACATTCCACTCTAATTTCGTGTTCTCCTCTGTTTTTACTTTCTTATGAATCAATCAGCCACACCCCCCCTCAGTTTTGTGTGTCTCTCTGACTTGTCTTTGTGTGCCTCAGTCTTGGGACCCTCTTTTTTATCAGTATCAGATATCCCTGATGAGGGACCTCCTTTTCTCTTGTCCACTGCTGTGTAGGGCAGTGCCTGGACAAGGGTACTCTGTGCTCCGAAAATGCCTCTTGAAGGAATACATGGATAATTTCCCTTCTTTCTCTTACTTCCCTCTCCCTGTTTAGAATATACGATTCTTTCTACATTTAAAGTACTTTCTTTTGACCTTACTGCCTTTTCTCCCCCCCATTTCTCACAGCTTTTTATATTTTAAAGAGAGTATCTATGTCTCCTCCTTAATCTCACTGTTTACTAACTCCTTGGTCACTTTACTGGCTTGAGTTTCCCTCTGTGAATTTTCAGATTTTTCTTGGAGATCCACCCCTCTACCCCTATGGACCCCTTCTCTTTGTTTAGTCTCCTTAGCTTCTCTGTAGCATGCTGTGGTATTGACAGCATATTCTTGGAAATACCCGTTTGTTCTTTTACCTTCCTGGTTTTTACTTTTATTTCCTTTGTTGACCTCCTTCTGCTTTGTAATGGTGAGGAAAGCACCAGGATTTTGCCTTCATCCTGCTATCTTTGTAATATCCCAGGGCTTGCCTACCCCTTTACTTTTAAATGTTATCAATAAATGGGTGATTCCCAAATTTACATAAATTACTCTTACTATTCATTCCTACATAACTTTTTTTTTTTTTTTTAAGAGATAGTGTCTTGCTCTGTTGCCTAGGCTGGAGTGCAGTGGTGTCATCATAGCTCTCTGCAACCTCAAACTCCTGGGCTCAAGCCATCCTCCCTGCTTCAGTTTCTCTAGTAGCTGGGACTACAGGCATGAGCCACCATGCCTGGCTAATTTTTTTAATAGAGATGAGGTCTCATTGTGTTGCCTGGGCTGGTCTTGAACTCCTAGCCTGAAGAGATCCTCCCATCTCAGCCACCCCAAATGCTGGGATTACAGGAATTAAGCCACTGCATGTGACATTCTGCACCCTCTTAAATATTTCCTGGATGCCTCAATTTAAATTCCTCTGTCATCTTAAACATGGTTTAAAATTTCTGATGTTGATGTCCTAGGTTCATGTCATAGAACACTGCTTCTCAAACTTTTCATCTTAGTGACTCTAATGGCTAAGTAGAGCGGCTTGCTGTGGGATCTTTTCCTTGTCTGGAATGCCTCTTCCTTTATTCATTCCAACTTCTTTCTTTTTGTAAGATCAAGTTTGAAAATCTACATTTCACAAAGATTTCTAGGATGATACCAGAGGAGTCAGGAAAAGCTCCATCTTTCCCTGTTGGACTGCTTTTTTTTTTTTTTATTTCGGCATATTACGGGGATACAGATTTTACGGTTTCAATAAATGCCTTCCCCCCCCCCCCCCTACAAGTCTGAGTCTCCAGCATGACCATCCCCCAGATGGTGCCCATCTCACTCATTATGTATGTATATACCCGCCCCCCTCCCCCCTCCCACCTGCCCAATACTCTATTACTGTAGTACCTATGTGTCCACTTAGGTGCTGCTCAGTTAATACCAGTTTGCTGGTGAGTATATGTGGTGCTTGTTACATTTCACAAAGATTTCTAGGATGATAGCAGAGGAGTCAGGAAAAGCTTCATCTTTCCCTGTTGCACTGCTTTTAATAAAAGGATTTTTGTTCTGTAAATTTTGGATTCAGTCAAAAGGCCACACCTGAGGACCTAGAAGGCCACATGGCCTTAAGGCTGTAGTTTCCCCAACCCTGCGAGACCTTATTGACTTCCCAGCCTTTGAACTCCTGCCATACTCATTTATATATGCATCTGGCACTACTCGTGTACTTCTGTTGTATTGTCGAATAAATAATTTTTATTCTGAGTGTCTTACGGATAGCCTGTAATCGTATTCCTCTTTCTACTCTCAGTGCCTAGTGTATATTTGGCACTTAATAATGTTTGTTATGGAAGATGGCAGAGCCTTTTCATTTCCTTATTTTGTGCCATTTCTCAGAGATTGCTTTAAAAAGCAATTAATTTTTCTTATCACCAAATGTTTTTTTTTTTTTTTCATAAATGACATGGACAGTGTTTGGACTGAACTGAACGACAGATTTTCTATAGCCTGATCATATTTTGCTTTGCACTATTGAAGGTACATTTTAAAAGATGTGGAATGATCATTGGAAAAGTAACTTTTCTCCATCTTTGGAGTCTTATCTAAAAAATTGGAATGAAAGAGGGATAAAAAGAGCTAGTAGGATTTGGTGAAAGCACATTCAGAGTTTTGCATTGGAAAGTTCAAGACAAGGTAGGGGTGGCAGGAAAGAAAGAAGAGAGAACATGAATGAACAAGAATGAATGTGAAAGTGTACACCCACCAGACCACACCACTTAGGAAATACGGTTGGGATGCTATAAAACTAGGCAGGGGGAACAATAGTTGTATCAAAGTAGTGGATATGTCTGTCATAAGGATGAGAATTCATATCAAGAGCACCACCTACAAAAAGAAGTTTACCCAACTGTTTATGATGAGTTGTCTTTATAATAAATTCCTGAGCAATATAAGAATGGACAGACGTCTTGAGTAGGTCCTGTCTATATGTGATGCCTTTTAAAATTATGGTATAAGAAATTAACTGTGGTTGCAATTTAGCTCTGTGTATATTGAAAATATGATTCCAGATTCAAATACAGGGAACAAAAGCCTTGGTTCACTTACATATTTTATTTTACTTTTTGTTTTTCTATAGGGAATTTGAAGTACTGCCTTGTGATTCTTAATCAGCCTCTGGACAAACATTTTCGCCATCTTTGGAACAAAGGTAAGCTTAATTAGCATTTATATTTCTTTGTTTTCTTCCTTTATTTGGGACTGACTAACATGACTATTAAGTACCCTGGAACCTAACTGAAACACAAAACTAATGGAATTCATTATGAGGTGAATCAATTATTAAATTATCAGAAGAAGAATTCCTTATTGTTTCCCTGTTAACCTTTTTATTTCAAAATACTAAAAGGGTACAAATGTTTTAGGTTTATATATGTGATTTCCATAGCACTGACCCCCAGGGACAGAATACTATATTTCAGAACTACTATGAGGATATTAATCTTGAATAATCAACAAATATTTGTTCAAGTGTAAATATTTTTGGCTCCAGAGATAGCAGAAAAGCATCTGCATGCCTCATTTGTCACAGCATCCAGTAATAAGATATCTGCAGGGTGATCAGATCTGCAAAATTAAAAAAGGAGACGTGTTGCCAGTATGTTGGAATCTCTTGGGGTGCTGAAAATAAAGTTAAAAAAAGGAAGAATGTCAGAGAAGTAATACTTATGGGAGGTTTTGTGTAAGAAACAGGCTTTATTAACTGTTTGTTTACATTATTCTTTGACTTTTATAGAATTAACTCTAGGCTAGAAAATAACATTAAATATCATTTGCTGTTTTGAACTTGTACTCTTCTTCGATGAAATGTTGGGATTTGTTTCCAAAGGGATAATTTTGCTGAGTTATCAATGCCAGTTTTAGGCCAAAGGCAGAAGAACTTGATTCTTGATATATTGATACATATTTCTGTTATTCCTGATTCCCTCTTATCATTGCAGAACTCTTTAGTATTCTTTTTTTTTTTTTTTTTTGCAGATATTTGCAGTTAAATTTTTTTTTTTTATATTGGCATATTATGGGGGTACAGATTTTAAGGTTTTAATAAATGCCCATTTCCCCCCTCCCCCCAAAAGTCTGAGTGCACATCTCACTCATTATGTATGTATATACCCGCCCCCTCCCCCCTCCCGCCTGCCCAATACCCTATTACTGTAGCACCTATGTGTCCACTTAGGTGCCACTCAGTTAATACCAGTTTGCTGGAGAATATATCTGGTGCTTGTTTTTCTATTCTTGGGATACTTCACTTAGTAGTATGGGTTCCAGCTCTAACCAGGAAAATATAAGATGTGCTATATCACCATTGTTTCTTAGAGCTGAATAGTACTCCATGGTATACATATACCACATTTTATTAATCCATTCTTGGATTGATGGGCACTTGGGCTGTTTCCACAGCCTTGCAATTATGAATTGTGCTGCTATAAACATTCGAGTGCAGGTGTCTTTTTTGTAGAGTGTCACTGGATCATTTGGGTAGATGCCCAGCAATGGATCAAATGGTAGATTCACTTGTATCGTTTTAAGGTATCTCCATATTGCTTTCCACAGAGGTTGAACTAGTTTGCAGTCCCACCAGCAGTGTAGGAGTGTTCCTCTCTCTCCGCAACCATGCCAGCATTTATTGTATGGAGATTTTTTGATAAAGGCCATTCTCACTGGGGTTAAGTGATATCTCATTGTGGTTTTGATTTGCATTTCCCTGATGATTAGAGATGTTGAGCATTTCTTCATATGTTTGTTGGCCATTCTTCTGTCTTCTTTAGAAAAATTTCTGATCAAGTCCTTTGCCCACTTTTTAATGGGGTTATTTGATTTTTTCTTCCTAATTTTCGTGAGTTCTAAGTACATTAAGGTTATGTTTCTTAGAATGCAAACCTAGTATGTTAATAAGCTCACATCTGTAGACAGAGGCAGTTGTGATGCTAGAAGGAATAAATCATCAAAAGAGATTTTGTATGAAGAATTTTTCTTGTCCAATATCATTACAGTGGAAACTCTTGGTGTTCTAAATATAGCAGTCTTTAAGTTAGCCAATTTAAAATTTCACATTATATTGCCCTCAAAGTTTGAAAATTATTTAACCATTAAGTTCTTTCTTAGCACTTACTAGTAATTAGATAGTTATTTGTATGGTCATAAGGTCTTTTTTATCATTGTGTGTTTAGTGCCTGGTGCAAATTACAATAAATGAATGAATTTAATATGGTTTATATTGCTAATAAATACTAAATAAACTGATTAGGCACATCCTTTTCATTTGAATTTATTGCATCAGGTTTCGTATCGTTTGGAGAGAGAGTGTGTTTTATTGCAAACATTAGAAATAGACAAAATTATCATTGATAAGAACTCTTGGAAACTTTGGATATTTAAAGCTACATATTAAGAAATCTCTTATATTTTGAAGAGTTAAGGGTCCTATTTTACACATAGTGGGAAATGATGTAGATTTTTGAGCTGACTGAAGTTCCTCATTAGTTTGTCTGCAGTGAATTAGATTTTTTTTTTTAATTCATTTTCATTTTAAGTTTTTTTTAGAGACCAGGTTTCACTCTGTCTCCCAGGCTGAAGTGCAGTGGCACGATCACACTCGATGTGACCCTGAACAGCTGGCCTTAAACAGTCCTCCCCCTCAGTCCCCCAAAGTGCGTGGATTACAGTTGTGAACCACTGTACCCAGCCTGAATTAGATTTGAAAAAGTCTCATGCCTGGCCAGGCATGGCGGGTCTCGCCTATAATCCTAGCACTCTGTCTGGGAAGCCAAGGCAGAAGGATTGCTCAAGATCAGGAGTTCGAAACTAGCCTGAGCAAGTGCAGGACCCTGACTTCTACTAAAATTAGAAAGAAATTAATTGACCAACTAAAAATATATAGAAAAGATTAGCCGGATATGGTAGCGCATGCCTGTAGTCCCAGCTACTCAGGAGGCTGAGGCAAAAGGATTGCTTGAGCCCAGGAGTTTGAGGTTGCTTGAGCTTGGCTGACGCCATGGCACTCAACCCTGGGCAACAGAGTGAGAGACTGTCTCAAGGAAAAAAAAAAGTCTCATACCTGATAATTGTTTGATTTGTATAACGTGATCAATCTGTACATGGGAAAGACTAAAGGTATCTGAAGTATCAGGTATATTGAAATGGCTAATTCTCATTTCCAAAGTAACTTTTCTTATTCAGGTTATCGAAATGTTAAGTTCTTTGTTATATTACTTCTAGGATAATTCTTGGCTTTCTGGAGCCTTTATTCTTATGAAGTCTTTAACCATTTGTTTTTCAAAATTTTATTTTTCAAAATTTTAAAATTTTTATTGATACATAATAGATGTACATATTTTCAGGGTATGCATGACATTTTGATACATTCATATAATGTGTAATAATCAAAGTAATTGGTATATCCATCGCCTCAAATATTTTTCTTTATGCTGGGAACATTCAAATTACTCTCGACTAGCTATTTTGAAATATACAATAGATTATTGTTTACTATAGTCACTCTGATTTATTGAACATGATTTTTGTATGTTGAACCGGTGTTGCATTCTTGGGATAAATCCCACTTGGTCATATTGTATAATACTTTATATGTGCTTCTGGATTCAGTTTGGTTGTATTTTATTGAGGTTTTTTAACTTCTATATCCATAGGAGATACTGGTCTGTAGTTTTCCTTTGTTTCTTTGTCTGCTTTTGGTATCAGGGTAATGCTGGCCCCAAAGAATGATTTAGGAAGTATTTCCTCTTTTATTTTTGGAGGAGTTTATGGAGAATTGTTGTGAATTCTTGTTTAAACTTTTGGTAGAATTTATCAGTGAAGCCATCTGGTACTCAGTGTTGTTTTTTGTTGTTGGAAGTTTTAAAATTACTAACTCAATCCCTATACTTGTTTTAGGTTTATTCATATTTTTCTCTTTCAACTCAGTTTTGGTAATTTTATCTTTCTAGGAATTTTCTTATTTCATACAAGTAATCTAATTTGTTTGCAGAAAAGTTTTTGTATGATTTCCTTATAATCATTTTATTTCTACAAGGTCAGCTAATGTTCCCTCTTTCATTTTAGTAATTCAAGTCTTTTCTCTTTTTAAAATTTTATTTATTTATTTATTCATTCATTTATTTAATTTCAAAATATTATGAGTACAAATGTTTTAGTTACGTAGATTGCTTTTATACTGCTTGATTCAAAGTTATAAGTGTACCCATCACCCAGATCATGTACACTGTACCTGTTAAGTATGATTTCACCCATCCCCTCCACTCCCTCCCACTTGGATGATTTGCATTGAGTTTTACTTCCATTTGTGCACATGAGTGCCAGTGGATCAGTTCCAATGTATAGTGAGTGCATCTGGTGTTTGTTTTTCTTTCTTATGATACTTCACTTAGAAGAATGGTCTCCAGTTCCATTCAGATTGTTGCAAAAGATACTAATTCACTTTTTTTTATGGCTGAGTAGTACTAAATGGTATACATATACCACATTTTATAAATACTTAGCTAGGTAGTGTTGAGGCCAAGGGGTTTCCTTTGGCCCTCTGAAGGTTCACTGAAACATCAACTCACTATAAGGCAGATTAATTGGAAAAAAGGTGTACAAATTGATTTAATGTGTACATGGGAGCCTTCAGATTGAAGACCCAGCCCCCAAGTGGGGTCCAGAAGCTTACATACCTTCTTGAGGTTACAGAAAGAATGGGAGCTTGGTTCCTGGGAAAACTGGTTATGGGATGGGAGAGAAGAGGAACTCTGTTGAGGAGCAATAAATGATTACTAGGGAGAATTCAAGGGGCTTGAAGATCATACAGTGTCCGGGGCAAAGTCTGTTGGGCCCACAGAATGGGCAAAGGTTTGTGATCAAAGTCTGTCCAAGTTTGTTGACAGACTTTATCCTTCCTTCCTGTGATATGGGTTCAGATAATGAAATCTCAAGCGAGGGACTCTGGAGTTAATTGCTACTGGAGTTCTCAAAGTTAGTTGTACAGATCTCTGAGCTACTACATTAAAAACTGAGAAACAAACAGCCCTGATTGACATACATTTACCTGAAATAAAGTTATATTTTTGCAGCCATATATCACATGTCTAGTTCAGCTTCTGTAATCATGTCCTCACTGTCAGCTTGAGTTCACAGCCTTTTCTACATGATCCA